GGAGGGAAGGATGGAGAGAGAGAGCGAGGACCCAACGGATGGGGCAGAGATGGAGATACACAAAGAAAGATCCTGGCTGACACAGAGACCAGAGACAGGCAGAGACGCAAGAGGGATGGAGACCACCAGAGACAGGCTGAGGCAGAGAGGGAGGGAGGGCAGAGATGGGCAGGGACAGAAGAGAAGGAAGGTATGGCAAGCCGGGAAAACAGACAGGGAGAAGAACTGCTGGAAGCCGACAGAGGGATGGAGAGACTCAGAGATTCGGAGAGACAGAGAGAGGAAGGCCAGCCAGAGAGGTGGGGGAGAGGGGGGCGCAGGTGGAGCTGCAGGGAGGGGCCAGGGGGTACACACAGGTGGAGGGACATGTGCTGGGGAGAACTGCGGACATATCGAGGGAGACAGAGACAGAGAAGGGAAAGAATTCTTGGAGTTGCTGGCCCCAAACTCATGTCTCTTTCCCCAGCCCCCTAAGCCCACCCATCCAGGGTGAGGGTAAGTCTATGTCCCCACCAGTGTCAAGGCTGCATATCTACCCACAGCCCAGAGTGATTTAGGATTCTCTTTACTTCTACAGAGAAGCTTCCAGAACCCCCTGAGGTCCCTGTGTATGTTTTTAGACCCCCATATATTCTCTGTGCTCATGATAGGGTCCTTTATACCTTCATGTGGGCCCCAGTATAGCCCATACATCCCCACTGTAGCATGTCCACAAGCCTGTGCTCTGCCTGTGAGTGACCCACCTGCCCCCATTAGCTTTCCACATAAACCATAGATCCCTCTATGTCATGTAACCGACAGTGTTAGACACCTATTTAATTCTCAAATCCTCTATAAAGCACACCCAGGACTGGGCAAGGTGGCTCATGCCTGTAATCCCAATACTTTGGGAGACCGAGGTGGGGAGATCAGCCTCGGCAACACAGCCAGACCCCATCCCTACAAATTTTTTTTTTTTTAATTAGCCGGGTGTGGTGGCATGTGCCTGTAGTCCCAGCTACGTAGGAGGCTGAGGCTTGAGCCAGTGAGTTCGAGGCTGCAGTGAGCTATGTTTGCACCACTGCACTCCCGCCTGAGCAACAGAGTGAAGCCCTGTCTCTAACAAAAATAAAATAAAATGAAGTGTACACAGGAGCCTTTTGGCTTCTGTGATATTTCCAAGTCCCCTATTCAACACCTTAAGTCCATAAATCTTTAATGAGTGCCAAATCTCAGCCAGGCACTGTTCCTGTTGGTGAGAACATGGCAGTGACCTAAATCAGCAAAAAGGCCTGTCCTGTGGAGCTTCCATGCAGGTGGATGAAACAGATGATCAACAAGGTCAATAGGCAAAATGTATGGTGTGTTAGATAATCATGTCCGTGCTGAGGAGGTGACCACAGCAGGGAAGGGGGTTAAGAGGGGCCTGTTGAGCAGGGTGCAATTTTAGGCACCCAGCTTTTTTTTTTTTTTGTATTTTTGGTAGAGATGGGGTTTCACCCTGTTGGCCAGGCTGGTTCTGTAACTTTTTTTTTTTTTTTGAGATGGAATCTTGCTCTGTCACCCAGGCTGGAGTGCAACGGCGCAATCTCAGCTCACTACGACCTCCACATCCCAGGTTCAAGCAGTTCTCCTGCCTCAGCCTCCCAAGTAGCTGGGATTACAGGCACCTGCCACCGTGCCAGGCTAATTTTTGTATTTTTAGTAGAGATGGGATTTCATCATGTTGGTCAGGCTGGTCTCGAACTCCTGACCTAGTGATCTGCCCACCTCAGCCTCCCAAAGTGCTGGGATTACAGGTGTGAGCTACCACACCTGGCCTGGCTCTGTAACTATTAACAGGAGGGATCTGCCTCCTGGTTCTGGAGGCATTAATGGGTCCCTTTTTGCTCTCAAGTGTCTTGCTGTAGATGAAAAATTATATGATTACCCTCTTTTTATTTTGTTTTGTTTTGTTTTTTTGAGACAGGGTCTTCCCCCTGTTGCCCAGGCTGGGGTGCAGTGGGGCAATCATAGGTCCCTGCAGCCTCGTCCTCCCGGGCTCAAGTGATCCTCCTGCCTCAGCCTCCTGCATAGCTGTGACTATAGGCAGATGCCATCACACATGGCTAATTCTTGTATTTTTTTGTAGGGATGCGGTCACACTATGTTGCCCAGGCTGGTCTCGAACCCTTGGGTTCAAGTGATCCTCCCACCTTGGCCTCCCAAAGTATTGAGATTATAGACCTGAGCCACTGCCCTCGGCCATGCATTATAAACTGATAGACGTGTACATAGATGTCCGCATCCTAATTCCCAGGATCTGTGCATAGGTTACCTTGCATGGCTGAAGGGACTTTGCCCATGTGACTGAGATAGGGAGATTATCCCAGTTATTTGGGTGAGCTCGATGGAATCACAAGAGTATTTGTGAGAAGTAGGCAGGAGGAGCAGTCAGTGATGGAGATGGGAAGATGGAAGCAGAGCTTGGGGTGATGGGGCCACCTTTCAAAGAATGAGTGTGGCCTCTAGAAGCTGGAAAAGGCAAGAAAAACATTCTCCCCGAGAGCCTCCAGAAGCGATGCAATCCTGCTGACAGTTTGATTTCAGTTCTGTGAAACCCATTTTGGATTTCTGCCCTCCAAAACTGCAAGATAATAAATGTGTGCTGTTTTAAGCCACCACATTTTTAGTAATTTGTTAACAGCAGCAATAGGAAACTAATATAATAGCACATCCACAGGCCCAGACGCATCTCACAACACAGTGCTGGAAACACCATACACACACACACACACAGCCTATCTGTTGGGTCTTCCTGTTTCTGCCCAAAATATCCCCTTGCACAACCACGCCCAGCAGGTGCTCGATACGTTTGTGACTGCGTGCCCGTTTTGCATTGAGCACAACCTTTTCCTGGGGGAAAACGCCTCCTATCCAGCACCAACATGAGACTTTCTTTAAGCCCAGTACAGGGCCAACACCTCTGCAGACTGGGGCCGCATCAGCACGTGCCCAGGCCTAAACCCTACTTCTGGAGCACGGAGGCCTCGGGCCTCCCCACCAAGCTGGCTCCTCTGGCGCTCTGAATCTTGCTGGGCTCTGGGGCACTTTGCTTTCCGGCTCCAGGTCTCAAGAATCCTCTCCTCTCCACCTGGCAGGACATGGGGAAGAGTCCATGAGCGAGAGGCTGGGTGATGAGACGGGTCCATGCCGCAGCTCCATTTGACAGATGGAGAAACTGAGGCCGAGAGAGGGGTTGCCGGGGGCCCAAGGCTCACAGGCCAGCCATTACAGTTGCGACCCCAGGGCTCCAGTAGATGGGGTGGTGGCCCCGGTGGAGGCGAAAGTCAGATTAGGGGGGCGAGGCCCCAAACCTTCTAAGGATGACCCACAGCAATGAGTGGGAGGGGCCTGGAAAGGGGGCGGGGCCTAACTGGGAGAGGCTGAAACACCTAGAACAGGGGCGGGAATAGTAGTGTGGGCGGGGTCAGACCTGGGGGCGGGGCACACGTTAGAACAGGGGTGGAGCTTCCAGTAAAGATCGGGGGCGGGACTCGCTGAGGTGCGAAAACTGGGCCAGGGGCGGAGCTTTGACCAGCGACTTGAGCGTGAAGGGGCGGGGCCCGCACGAAGGTGCGTCCTAGCTTGGAGGCGGGGCCTGGATGGGAGGGGCGGGGCCGAGGGCAGTATCCGGCCAGGTGAGAAGAGAATAACAGTCTGGCAAGCAGCTTCAGCGGCATCCACGGCACGAAGTTGGGTGGGTACACCAGGCACTTCCGGGTGAAACCGTGCGTATTTCCGGTTAAGATGGCGGCGCCCAGTAGAGTCAGGTGCGGACGACTTTGTCCGTAGGAGCAGCGGCGGCTTGAGGACCCGGGGAGGTGAGATCCGCCCTATTCCGGCGCCCCTCTTCGGAGAGGAGGGAGAAGACTTGTTGCTAAGGAGACCAAAGGGCGGGCTTGTTGCTACGGAGGCGGGGCAGTGAGGTTGCTAAGAGACGGGACGCACGCATTGGAGATGGGGAAGGGGGGTTGTTGCCAGGGAGAGTGGGTGGGGCGTGTTGCTAGGGAGAAAGGAGGGGCTTATGACTTTGGGGAAGGGTCCTGTGGGTATGAAGGAAGGAAAAGGGGCTGTGGTTGAGTGGGCTGGGGACAGAGTCGTTTGGGGTCATGGGGGGGCGCCGAGCTCCCCTAAAACGCCACCTTCTCAGCAGACCCTCAAGAATCGACCCATCAGGACGCCAGAGCTGCTTCAGCGGTGACCACCTTCTCCCCCTAACACGTTCTTCCCTTCTTCACAAACGGCCCATGTCAGACGAAGGCTCAAGAGGCAGCCGCCTGCCCCTGGCGCTGCCCCCGGCCTCCCAGGGTTGCTCTTCAGGGGGCGGCGGCGGCGGCGGCGGCGGCGGCTCCTCCTCGGCTGGGGGCTCGGGCAATTCCCGGCCCCCACGCAACCTCCAAGGCTTGCTGCAGATGGCCATCACCGCGGGCTCTGAAGAGCCAGACCCTCCTCCAGAACCCATGAGTGAGGAGGTAAAAGATGGGGACCCAAGAAGCTGGGGTGAGGGGCCTGGAGACAGATAGAGGTGCCTTGGGAAGTGTGACTTGGGGAGCCACAAGAAGACTAGGGTCTTCTTGGGTGGGTGGCAGGAGTCCAGGTGTGGAGGCATTGTAGGCTATAATTTTTGCTAGATGGGGTCGTCGTTGACTGAAGGTCAGATCTCAAGAGAGTCTGGGGGGACATATCCTTTTCAGAGCCAGACCGACCTGGATCTAGCATTGTCCAGCTGTGTGACCTTGGATATATTACTTCATCTTTCTGAGTCTCAAGTTCTTCATTTACAAATTGATAATAATAATAACTACGGTATAGGGTAGTTCTGAGGTTCTACTTTAAGTAGGGCTGCACACAGTGTCCAGCATACAGACAGTGCTTCTGAAGACAGCAGTATGTTTTCATGAAGAGCACAGGCTCTGTAGTCGGACTGCTTGTTTTTTTTTTTTTTTTGATGGGGGGTAGGGGTGGGGAACACAGTCTGGGTTGGAGTGCGGAGGCGCAATCTTGGCTCACTGCAACCTCTGCCTTCCCGGTTCAAACAATTATCGTGCCTCAGCCTCCCTAGTAGCTGGGATTAGAGGCATGGGCCACCATGCCTGGCTAATTTTCGTATTTTTAGTAGAGAAGGGGTTTCACTATATTGGCCAGGCTGGTCTCGAACTCCCGGCCTCAAGTGATCCATCTGCCTCAGCCTCCCAAAGTGGTGAGATTGCAGATGTGAGCCGCCACGCCCAGCCTAGACTGCTTGGGTTTGATTTCAGGCTTTGTCAATTGCTGACTGTGTGACCTTGGGTAAGTCTCAACCTTTCTGCGACTCAACTTTCTCGTCTGTGAAGTGGAGATAACAATAATACATATACCTCATAGAGTTGTTTTGCAGATTAATAGGAATAGTTATTATATATAATGTTTAATTGGCAATTACTGTATACAGAGTATTATGCTAACCCACTTACGTACATGACGTCATTGAACCTTTACGACAGTGAGGCATGAAACAGGCACAGAAACATTAAATAGCTCACTCAAATTTACTTAGAACTGTGACTAAGGAGACCTCTGCTCCCCTCCCTCACCCCCCAAAATTCCAGCAGTCACTTATTAGCGCTCATCTCCTTTTTCTTTGAGATAGAGTCTCACTCTGTTGCCCCGGCTGGAGTGCAGTGGTGTGATCTCAGCTCATGCAACCTCTGTCTCTCAGGTTCAGGCAATTCCCTTTGCCTCAGCCTCCCGAGTAGGTGGGATTACAGGCACACGCCACCATGCCTGGCTAATTTTTGTATTTTTAGTAGAGACGGGGTTTCACCATGTTAGCCAGTCTGATCTCGAACTCCTGACCTCAGGTGATCGGCCCGCCCCAGCTTCTCAAAGTGCTCGATTACAGGCGTGAGCCACCGCGCCCGGCCTCATATTGTTGTAAGGCTTTATTCTGACAAGTCTCAAATTTATATCTCTAGGCCAGTGATCCTTCACTGGGGGTGATTTTTATTCCCCAGGGGACAATTGGTGTGGAAACATTCTTGGTTGTCACAACTGGAGGAAGGGGGATACTGGCATCCAGTGCGTGAAGGCCAGGGATGCTGCTCAGCATCCTGTGGTGCACGGGACGGTCACACCATGGAGAACTCTCCAGTTCAAAGTGTCAGTAAAGCTGAAGTTGGGAAATCCTGGTCCAGGCTGCACCTCCGCCTGGGCTTCAGGCAGCTTCCTCAGTCTTTTGCCTTGGGTGTGTAATAGATCCCTCAAATTTGACACATTTGAAAATGAGCTGAAATCCCTGCTCTTCCCACCCCAAACCTGCTTTTCACACCATTTCCCCATCTTTTCCTGGTTGCTCAGAACAGAGACCTCGGAGTCATCCTTGACCTCTCTTTCTGTCACACCTCATATCTCACTAAATCAAACGGGCTCTCTTTTCAAAATAAGTCCAGGGTCTGACCGTTTCTCCCCACTCCTCTCTCCTTCCCGCTCCACACCACCTTCTCTCCTGCCTGCTCCCAGCTGTAGCCTCCTGTTTCATATTCCTGCACCTGCCGTTGCCCCTCCTCTATTTGTTCTCAATCAACAGCAATGCAGGTGTCCCCACTTCTCTGCTTAGAGCCCTCCGGCAGCTCCCAGGCCTATTCAGAGGGAAATCCCAGGTTTTTACAAAAGTTTGCAAGACCTAATATCACCTGCTCCCCTGCCCGCTCCCTTTCTCCTTGCTCACTCTGCCTCCACCACACTGGCCTCCTGGTGGTTCCCTCTGCCTGCAACCACTTCTAGATGTGGCCTGGCTCAGTCCCTCACCTACTGCTTTTCTCGCAAGTCGCCTCCCTGGGACCCTCAATGACCAACCCATTTCTTTTTCTTTTCTTTTTTTTTTTTTTTTAGAGACAAGGTCTCACTCACTGCAGCCTTAAATTCCTAGGCTCCAGCCATCCTCTCCACTCAGCTTTCTGAGTAACTGGGACCACAGGCATGCACCACCATGCCCAGCTAATTTAAAACTTTTTTTTGTGGAGATGGGGTATCACTATGTTACCCAGGCTGCTCTTAAATTCCTGGGCTCAAGTGATCCTCCTGCCTCAGCCTCCCAAAGTGCTGGAATTACAGGTGTGAGTCATCGCACCCGGCCCCGACCTGTTTAATTCTGCAGCCACAGTTCGGCACTCCAGATCCCCCACTGTGCTTAATCTTACTTACCCCAGGACGCTTATAATCTCACCATGTCAAATGCTACACTTTTGCTTATTTTCTTTATTGACTGTTCTTCAACCTGAATGTGAGCCCCACCCCCAGGGTAGGGGTTTCTGTCTGGCCCAGGGCTGCCTTTAGTACCTAGAAAAGTGTCTGTGAAAAAAATAGATGTTCAGTTGATTCTGTCGCCCAGGCTAGAGTACAATATTGCGATCTCGGTTCACCTCAACCCTCCCAGGTTCAAGTGATTCTCGTGCCTCAGCCTCCGGAGTAGCTGTGACTACAGGCTCGGACCATCATGCTCGGCTAACTTTTTGTAGTTTAGTAGAGATGGGGTTTCACTGTGTTGCCCAGGCTGGTCTCAAACTCCTGAGCTCAGGCAGTCTGCCCACCTTGACCTCCCAAAGTGGTGGGATTACAGGCGTGAGCCACAGCGCCCAGCCAATATTTGTTGACTGAAGGAACATCAGCCCTCAGTTGGCTGTCTTTATTAATGGCTGTTCCTTTTTAATTAATGACTGATAGATCTCCTTTCTTCCTCGCCTTGGTCCCCAGAGGCGTCAGTGGTTGCAGGAGGCCATGTCGGCTGCCTTCCGAGGCCAGCGGGAGGAGGTGGAGCAGATGAAGAGCTGCCTCCGAGTGCTGTCACAGCCCATGCCCCCCACTGCTGGGGAGGCTGAGCAGGCAGCCGACCAGCAAGAGCGAGAGGGGGCCCTGGAGCTGCTGGCCGACCTGTGTGAGAACATGGACAATGCCGCAGGTACCCCACTTCCCCCACCGGGATGTCCTGCCTCTCTGTACATGTCCTGCTGCCTCTCAGCTCTTGCCCCTACTCTTGGGGATCACACCATCAGCCTCCCTGCTGCCCTCTCACCATCAGCCTCTTTGCCTCCATTGCCATAAGGAGCAAGGCTCTTCCTCGCCCTCATGGCAGGTGGGGTCCCCCACTTCCGTGATCAGTTCTGAGATGGCTGTTTCTCTCCTAGTCCTCTGGGTGTCCACTGCCACTCCCCAGAGTACAAGAGAGAAAGTGGCATGGGTGGGGTGGCAGAGAAGGCCTCTCCGGGGCGACATTTGATCAGAGACCTGAAGTGAGGTGCGAGTTGTGGGATGATCTCTGGGAAAAGCATTCCAGACCGCGGGAACAGCCAGTGCAAAGGCCCTGAGGCCAGAGCGTGCCTGGTGTGTTCAGGAACAGCAGCCAGGCCCTTGAGGCAGAGTAGAGTGAGTGAGGGGCCAGGCGTAGGAAACAGCGTGGGGGTGGGCAGGGCCTTGCAGACCGAGTTAAATGCTGTTTTACTGCAAGCAGCAGAGCTGACAGAAGGTTTGAGGAGAGCCCCTTTCCATTTGGAGGGGTTGTGTGGTGTAGCCATTGAGGGTGTGGATTTGGGGTGTCACTTCCTTGGTTCATAGTTCAGGCTGTGCTGCTACATGGCAGTCTGGTTTGGGCAGGTCCTGGTGACTTCCTCTTGTACACAGGCTGGTGAGGATGGGCTGAGAGAAACCCCCAGGCCCACACAACCCCAGGCACAGAGTACACGTAACATGTCAGGCATGGGAGTCAGGTGTCTTCATTTTGGACAGGGGCTGGACGGCGTTTGTGAAGCTCTCCTCTGTGAGTGCATTTAGCGCCCTGAGAAGACCCGCGGTGCAGTTGCCACCCCCCAGCTTACTTCTCCCCAGTGTTTCCCAGTCTTAACCCGGCAGAGAACTCCCGCTCCAGTCCGCAGGATGGCTTTTAACGACTTTGCTCTTTCATTCATTTTTTGCTTGTTCAGGAAATATCTGTTGAGCAGCTGCTGTGTGCTAAGCACTGTGCTGAGTGTCCAATCACAGCAGCAGCAATTTTACACCTTATTAGTAATCAAATGAGAACGAAAGCCAAAGATACCACTTCCTCCCTGGCCTAGGCGCTGTCTCTGTATATAAATATAAATATATATGTGTATCTTTTCTGTTTTAATGAGGATGCGCAGGGCTGATGAAGGTGGGCTGAGGGGAACATCCTCCCACATGGCTGTTTCTACCACTTACTGTCAATTCACAGTGTTGTGCAACACCACCTCTATTTCCGTAACTTTTCCATTGCCCACAAAGGAGACCCAGCACCCATTAGGCAGGTCCTCCCCCGGCCCCCTGGCAACAACTAATCGGTGTTTTGGGTCTATGAATTTGCCCATTCTGGACATTTCATATAGATGCCTATAACATGTGACCTTTTGTGTCTGGCTGATTGTGCTAAAGGCGTGCCCATGTTGTGGTGTGTGTCAGAGCTTTATTCCTTTTTTTTTTTTTTTGAGTCAGTCTCCCAGGCTGGAGTGCAGTGGTGCAATCTCAGCTCACTGCAACTTCCACCTGCTGGGTTTAAGTGATTCTTATACCTCAGCCTCCCAAACAGCTGGGATTACAGGTGCATGCCATCAGGCCTGGCTAATTTTTTTTTTTTTTTTTTTTTCCCTGAGACGGAGTCTTACCCTGTTGCCCAGGCTGGAGTGCAATGGCGCGATCTCAGCTCACTGCAACCTCTGCTTCCTGGGTTCAAACAATTCTCCTGCCTTGCCCTTCCGAGTAGCTGGGATTATAGGCGCCCGCCACCATGCCCAGCTAATTTTTCTATTTTTAGTAGAGATGGGGTTTCACCATGTTGGCTAGGCTGGTCTCGAACTCCTGACCTCGTGATGCACCCGCCTCGGCCTCCCAAAGTGCTGGGATTACAGTCATGAGCCACCGTGCCTCGCCAGGCCTGGCATTTTTGTATTTTTAGTAGCAATGGGGTTTTGCTATGTTACCCAGGCTGGTCTGGAACTCCTGGACTCAAGTGATCTGCCCACCTTGTCCTCCCAAAGTGCTGGAATTATAGGCTTGAGCTACCATGCCTAGCTGCTTCATTCCTTTTTATGGCTGAGTAATACTCCATTGTATGGCTAGAGCAGTTTTTATTTATCTCTTTATCCTTTAAGGACATTTGGGTCATTTGTGAATGATGCTGCCATGAACCTGAGTGTGTAAGTATCTGAGTCCCTACTTTTGGTTTTCTTGAGTCTGTACCTTGGTGTGGAATTGCTTGGTCACAGGGAATCTGTTTCACTTTTTGAGCAACGGCTACGCTCTCCAATGCTACTTTATTTATAAAAACCGGAGGTGGGCTGTGGTTTGCTGACCCTGGGGACATTCAGATTGTCACAAAAACGAGGATCAGTCCTGGCATTTAGTAGTCTGGAGCCTGGGGCCCTAATGCCCCAAGTGCCGATGGAATCGAGTTGTACTGGGCTTGGAGGGACCTCTGGTTGGGTGTTTGGAGAGAACCAGGTCCCTGTGGGAGCCAGCCTGGCTCTCCCGGCCTCAGCAGCTGTGGTGGTCGGCTTAGGGCCACCTTAGCCAAGCACCACAGACTACTGGCTTTAAAAACAGAAATGTATTTTCTCACGGCTTTGGAGGCTAGAAGTCTGAGATCAGGGTGTGGGCAGGGCTGGTTTCTCCTGAGCCCCTCTCTCGTTGGCTTGCAG